TATATATATATAAAAACAAAAACAGCTACATTATAAAGCGATGTAAAATACTAAAAACAGGAACATGTTTGTGTTGGTTTATGCCATGAACTTAGCAGATGGTTAAAGCCATTTATTTTTTTAATTTTATTTAATTCATTTATTCATTCATTTAAAAGAAACAAAATAAAACAAATTCATCAAAAAGAAAATGTTGAATGAAAAGAGTGCAGAAAGAATAAAAAAATTATTATATATGCCCCTTATTAAAATATATAAAAAATAACTTTAAACAAACAATCACTTAAATTAATCACTTTAATATCCACTTTAAAGCTAGGAATAAAAAAAAACATGTTTTGTTGTTAGCAGAATTTAATTCTAACTTTGATACTTATCCAACATTAACAAAACTTACCTCAAGTTGCCTTTTTGGACATGCATGCATATATTTGTACAATTTGTACTAGTCTATAGAGAGATTATTACAGCCTCATATAAAATCAATAATGATGATGATATCAGAAAAGTATCAGCCGATATCCAGAGTTAGGTATCGTGATCGAATTGGAAGTAAAAAAATGTGGATCGGTGCATCCCTATATTCTGCCTGGCCAAAATAGAAGTCGCCAGCAAAAAAAAGTCACACACTAATATTTTGTTGGACCGCCATTAGCTTTGATTACGGCATACATTCACTGTGGCATTGTTTCGATAAGCTTGTGCAATGTCACAAGATCTATTTCCATCCCGTGTTGCATTAATTTTTCACCATTGATGACTAGGCATGATGGGAGCATCACTTCACCTGCCTCTCCTCTTACTCTGATGCTCCCATCACTCTGGAACAGGGTAAATCTGGACTCATCAGACCACATGACCTTCTTCCATTGCTCCAGAGTCCGATCTTTATGCTCCCTAGCAAACTGAAGCCTTTTTTTCTGGTTAGCTTCACTGATTCGTGGTTTTCTTTAGGCTACACAGCTGTTCAGTCCCAATCCCTTGAGTTCTCTTCACATTGTGTGTGTGGAAATGTTCTTACTTTCACTATTAAACACAGCCCTGAGTGCTACTGCTGTTTTTCTTTGATTTGATTTCACCAAACCGATCACGATCATTCAGGATTTTTTTCTGGCGACATTTCTTCCTCGAAGACGATGGGTCCCCACTAACCTTGCAGTTTTTAATAATGTGTTGGACAGTTCTTAACCCAATTTTAGTAGTTTCTGCAATCTCCTTAGATGTTTTCTCTGCTTGAAGCAGCCAATGATTTATCCTTCTCAAACAGACGGACATCTTTTCCATAACCACGCAATGTCTTTCCATAAAATGCAGATAAATATTCTGTGTACTACATACACAACACATGACGAGCATGAAGCTAGGGAGAAAA